CATATAAAAATTTTTTTTTTGAAATTTTCAAATTTTGACCCGGCCGGGTTATGAAAACCATTTAATTAATTTTGCATAGCCTTATAAATGAATAATTATTTATCTGTAGCTATTACAATTTTTTGTAATCTTTCTAATAAAGTATTGTTATTATTGAATGAAATGTTAAGATTATTAAGTATTCTTTCAGTGTAAATATTTGATTAGTTAATAATATCACTTAATTCAATATTATCTTGTCTTAAATTCTGTATACACAATTGTAATCATCTTGTTTCTTGTCTTAAAGTATCGTTATCATTGATCAATTGATCATTTTCTGTTTGTAAAGACATATTTTCATTATTTAAATTGGTTATTTTTTGATTAATATAATTTAAATCACTACTTATAGAAGATATTTTTAATTTATTTGTCTGTTTTTTCTTTGTTTAATTTTTTTAAATCCTTTTGCTTTATGTACTGGTTTATAAACAGGGCTTGTTTTACCTCTAACAAATTTTTCTAAAAAAATACCACCATTATAAAGATTGGTGATTTGTCTGTTTCTTTTTAAGATAGGTTTATAAGAATTTGAATAATAGTCACATGTAAATAATTTTGGTAAACGTTCATGTACCACTATATTGATATTATTTTAGGAGATTTAGAACACACTTGATAAGAAATTTGTATATAAAGAATAATTAAAAAAAATAATAATAATTTCATTTTTTTTTAAATTAAATAAATAATTTATATAAATAAGGTAGTTTTATATTTAAATATAAATTATTTTTTTTTACTAAAATATCATTATCAACACCAAAACCACCAACACAGCCTCTTTTGATACTTGAATTAGTGTCTGGTGAAGTAAATCGTATCAGAAGATTAATTGTATATTTACATGCGCAAATTGTTGGTGGTGGAGGAAATCCACCAGAAGATCCTAATACTCCATTACCAATTCCTCCTCCATCACTTGAAGATGTATTAAAATGTCAAAGAATAGTTTAGATTAGAATTTTTGAACATCTTAAAATTACAAACCCAGATCCAAATAATAAAGATGTAAAATTGGGAATGTTGTTTGAAGCGATGGAAAAAGTAGCAAAGGAAATAAGTGAAGTTGGTAGAAGAGGCAATATAATAAAATCAGAAGAGCAAAAAATATCGACATATTCTTTTTTGAAAAATAATAATATAAAAGAACAAGATTTTAAAAAGAAGAAAAAATTAAATACAAATATGATTTTTAACTTATATAATTAAATAAATTATATTTATTATTATTTGTTAATATGAAAGTTAATAAAAAAACTTTTCTTCAAGAAATTATAACTGGTTCAGAATTTAAAAAGGAACTTATTAAGAAATTATCGAGAGAAGACCCCAAATATTTGATAGAGAATTTAAAAAATATTGAATATGTTGCTAATATAATTTATAAAACACCAAAAAATATTAGTAAAAAACGAAAACATATAGAAAATTCAATCTCATCTAGTTCAGATAATAAAGAAAGTGAAAGTGAAAACAATGATAATAAAGAATTACCAAAGAAAAAAACAAAAAAAAGTTCAACACCATATAATAATTTTGTTAAAAAAGAATATTCCTGAACTCAAAAATAATTATGAACATAATTAGATATTGAGAGTAATTGGTACTAGGTGGAAAACAAGTCCTGAGAATCCTAAAAATAATTCTTAAAATATATAAATAGACTGATTCTTTTTTTTTTAAAGATTAAAATGAAACCTTCTTTGGAATTTTGTAAACAATATAATAAATTATAGTTAATATTAGAATTAGCAACATATTTCTTATATATAATCTTATTATTGATTTTAATTTATACAATTGTTATTATACATATTAAATCTAATCTAATACATTTCGATTATATAACATATTTTATTACATTAATTAAGGATTTTTTAATAAAATCGTCACAAACTATCTTAACACAATTAGTGACATTTATAGATTCGTATTTACAAACTGGCACCAATTAGGAAAAAAAACACTAAAATTATTAAAAAGAAAAAATCATCTACTTCAGATAAACCAAAAAGAAAATCTTTAATAAAAAAAAATTATTAGAAAAAAAAAAAGTTGTACAAAGTGTGGTTACTCGTTTAATAGCTCCTATAAAAAAAAGTAAAAAAAAATGAAATAGTAAAAAGAAAAAGAAAACCACCATCTACAAATAGAAAAATTTCAGGAACATGTAATATAGGATTTTGTGGAGATGAAGAATATTTAAACACATGTAGATTTAAACGTAGAATGAGAACTCAAGTTGAAAAAGTTGTATTGAGTACATGTAAAGTTGATAAAAGAACTTTTTATTATGACACTTTATAGAATAGATTATTTTATCATAGAATGTTTCAAGAAATGAGTAGTTTTAAAAATTTTGAATTACAAGATATTTCAATATATTTAAAAATTACAACATATTATAATAGAGTACAAGGAAATACAATTAATATACCTGTTGCAAAAAGTAATCAGGTTATTATGTCTTTATTAGGTTCTTTAAAAGTAAAAGCATATATTATAGAAATTTGCAATATTGAATTAGCAAAAAAACAAGATGTAACTTTAAATGATATTTTAGTAGATTTTAATTTTCAACATATTCAATTTAGAAAATCCATAACAGTGCATTTAGAAAATAAGATAATGATTAATTGTTCAAGTTGTTAATTTGAATTGGATAAGGTTATTTTATGTTTGGATTTAAATCGTTTACATGTTTGTGTATTATTCAAAAAAGATGAACAAGCACGAGTATTTGATAAAGGAAATTATGCAATAGTTGTTATTTTAGATTACATGGATTGGATATATTAATTTAGAAAAACATTATCAAATAATGATCTAAGTATTATAGATCCTCTTGGTGTTGCTTTTAATGAAAAAACTAGTAATTTAGAAATTTTTGTATTTTTCATGCCCCAACATTAAAGACTATAATGCAATCTGTTCAAGATTGTTGTAATAAAAATCAGTTATTTTTAAAATATTTATTTTTTTTTTTAGTTTTTTTTGTATTTTTTCTATAAATATAATATTTTTCTTTTTATTTTTAATAAAAATTATTAAACATCATAATAGCATTAAAAATTTTAACAGGTCGAATCATGTGTTGTCGGGTTTTGTAATGATGATAGAAAATTAAATATTTGTTATAATAAAAGAGAATATGGTTTTTCTATTAATACAGATTACCAATTTGGTCCTCAGAATGAAACTATTTAGGATAATATTGAAAATATAAAACAAAATACTTATTTTCAAGTATCTGAACAAAGATTAATGTATACAGAGAACCCTCTCTAAATGCACGCTCTTGGGACTGAACTTTAATGATATGCACTTAGAAAACAATAAGAAAAAGTGCATTTAGAGAGGTCATCTATATATTTGGGCCCAAATTTAAGCATGCATTTAGAGAGGGTGTGCACTTAGGGAGAGTGCACTTAGGGAGGGCTCTCTGTATATGTTTATTTCAAAAAATTAATACAAAACAAACTAATCTTGAATTACATAATATAGCTGTTCAATTGAAGTTGACAACTTATCATAATTAAGATAGAGAAAGAAGGATTTAATTACCTATTAAAAAAGGTGGAAGTAAATATATAACATCACTTATAGAATCATTGATATTAAAGATTTTTATTATTAAAATATGTGATCGAGATGTTGCTATTCAATCAGATCCTTCTATTGGAGATATTATTTTAGATAGAGATATTCAAGATATACAGTTCCGTGAATATATTACTACATTTAGAAACTGAATTAAAAGTAGAATGTGGAGGATATGAATTTCAAGATCATGAGATAAATTTATATTTAAATCTTAATAAGTTAAAAGTTTGTTTATTAGAAAATGATGAAAACACTATTAAGATTTTTAATCAGAAAAATTTTGCTTTAGTTGGTTTCATAGATTACTGCAACATGTTTTATAAATTTAGATGAGAAAATGGTAATAAGGATTTTTTATTTTTTGGTAAAAATTTTAGTTTAACAGAAGCTAGATTGGGTATTCTGTTCTTTTTTATAGTGGGTATGTTGAAACATCATGGAAACCCGATTTTGAAACAGCTAGTTCTATAGAAAATTTATTTTTACTTGTTCAAAAATGTTGTAAAAAATAGATTATATTTTTTATTCATTTATTTTTATTTTTATTTTTTTTTTTATAAATATTAGATTTTTTCTTTAATATTAAATAAATAAATTTGAATATGTTATTTGATTGTAGATATAAAGTTGATTCAAAATCTTATAAAAAATGTTGTTATAAAAAATGAATTATTAAATCAAATAATAAACAAAAAGATAATGAATTTTATAACTATTTTTTAATTAAAATATTAAATATTCTACAAAATAATCCACCAAATGATGATGATGAATTTCAAAAAATACATGATCAAATTTTATCAACTTTTGAATTAGAGTTATTGAGAAATGGTGGAGAATTAGATTTAAAAATTCAAATTTCAAGTTTAACAGATATACAAAAACAACAATTACAAGAGTTACAAGCTGAACAAATTCATCATATGATAAGATTTAATGCAATAAAAGATGAAATTGAAAATAAAACATTTGAAAATATAGAAAGATTACGTGAATTTCAATTCTGGCATCAAAAAATACTTGAAGAGTTATTATTTACACAACAATAGCAAAATCGATTAAATAAATTAAGATTAGCTAGATTGGAATTTTGAACAGAATATTTGGTAGAATATAATATATTTGTAGAACAAATTCAAAATGAAACAGATTTACATAGATTACGAGGGGTTTGGATAACTAAAATTGATAACTCTCGATTCTCAAATGAAGAAAAATTAAATCTTCATAAAATATGTAAAGAACGTATTAGAATTTTATTAGAACAATCACAACAATCTGATTATCAGAGAATACGAAATAGTATACTTGAAGAAACCAATATCACAAACTTGGAAGATGATAAATATTGGTTTAAAGAAATAAATAGAAGTAGTTTAAATAAAAATCAACGAAAAGAATTAAATGATTTACATGCCAAAACCTTAATTGCTCTATTTAATAAACAATATGATAAGATTAGAAAAGAAATTTTAGAAACAAATGATTCATTTTTATTAGAAGATAGAGGAGATATAAATAAACAAATTCGATTGTTGAAAGATAATAATCTGACTGATGAAAGATAAACAATAAAATTGCAAGAAATGCATCATGGATGTTTACAGGATTTATTACAAGTGAAAGAAATATCAAATTATAATCGACTTGAATGTTTGTTGCGTATATATGTTAGAAGACAAAGAGTCGAGTTATTATCAAATGAAAGTATTCTTACAGAATCTATTAATGATCTTAATTAAACATTGTTAGGAAATGACAGAAATCGATTATTATTAATACAAATGAGAAAAACTCAATACAATAATCTTTTATATGATATAACAGAAAGACAAATGTGAGCAGAAACAAATAGAAAAACTTTAGCGAACAGTAAATGTTATAATCTTATAATTCAATCATTAGTAGAATCTGTTCTTGAACCTCCAAAAACAATTCAAACATTACAAAATTTAAGACAAGAACTTTACAATAAAAAAACACATTTATCATATATGATTAAAAAAATTAAAAATCTAAAAGAAGTATTTGATTAGTTAATAGATTTGTTAGAGAAAAAAGAAAAAATATATAATCTTTTTAACAAAATAATAATAAATTATATTATAGGATATCCAAATGGAAAATATACAAATAAATTACAAGAAGAAAAATATTTTAACGATGAGATTGATAAAATAGATAAAAAAACATATTTGTATGAAAAACAATTTCTTCGAAATTTAAAAGAACAAATAGATGAAATGTATAATGATGAGAAAAAGATTATTATTTTATTGATTTAGAAGGCGATATCGATATGTTTAATAAAAATATAACAGATTTTATAGATAAAACTATAAAAAAAATGTAATATATAAATTGATAAAGGATATTTACCAAGAAAGTGAAGCAGCATGGGTGAGAGAAATCAGTAAAAAAGTAAAAGATACTCATAATGAAGTATCTTTTTTCAAAGAAATAAGACCTACTATCACAAACACAAGATTTAGAAAACATTTTGATAAAATACTTAAGGATTATTTCTTAAAAAAATCAGAAGAAAATGAAGAAAATAATAAAAAAAAAAAGAAAAAAACATGATCTTGAAGATAAAGATAATCCAGAACCAAAAAGAAGAAATAAGAGAATAATAAAACCAGAAAAAGAATATAATAAAGAATCGATTTTATTTGTATATTCAATATTGGTGAAATAGGAATTTATGGAAAATGGTTCTCCTTTAACAATCAGTGCTATTTTTGATATATATAAAGAAGTTGTTAATGTGAGCGATGAAGAAATAAAAAATTTAAAAACAATAATCATAAATAATTTAGACAATTATCTTGAAGTTACATGGTCGACAGTATTCTTCAGTATTAGCAACATTGATTGATTTTTATAAGAAAGCAAAAGCAAGATATTTCACAAAACAACATTTTCTTGATATTGTATACAAAATATTGGTATTACAAAGTTCAGATCTTGAATTGAATGAATTAATTGAAAATATCTTTGATGGTTTAGAAGTATGAGTGAATTAAACGAGGGTTCAAGTTGAATGTATCAATAATTTAATTAAACAATATGAAGAAATACTTGTTAAAAAAGAAACAGAAATATTAAATCTTCATAAACTTATTACAGCCAATTTATTTTTTAAACAAATATTTAATCGAAAAAATATAGAAAAATTAATAATTAAGAAATTTTTTTCATCAAAAATATCTTTTATAAATTTATATATATATATATTATCACATATTTTAATCAATATTGTAACGATTTTCAGATGGATTATTGATATATCCAAATAGTGAATCTGTGAATATTGATCTAATGGGAGCAGGGTGGATACAAACATATATAGAACAACCTGAAGCAGAAGTCACTAGAGATAGTATAAGGGTAGAAAAATGGCCTTCATCATCAAGACCCGAACTAATGGTGATCTGGTGTGCATTACTAACAACATGCTTGAGAAGTACAGTCAAGATTAATACAGATAGTATAGTTGCAATATATAGTATCTAGAAAGCATTAGAAAATAGAAGCTTCAGAGTATCAAATAAATTAAAGAATTACTTAATCATAGATAAAATAGTAGAGACAATTCAGTTTAAAGGGCTCAAAATAAAATTAAACAAGGTTAAAGTACACAGCAGTATTAAGTAAAATGAGATAGCAGACAAGCTAGCGAAAGAAGGTGCAGCTTTAGATAAAGATTGGTCAATTTGCAACTTGTTCAGGTCTAGATAGTCATTCAGCGTAAAGTGACAAAATAAACAAGTAGACTCCCTAATAAGATTTTTTATACTTCAGGTTACCGGCATAAAAACTGAAAGCAGCTAGTATATACAAAAGAAGGTGCATTTGCATAGCGAAAACGAGAAAGCAGAAGACTTAGTCTGAAGTAATTGTTGGAGAAGATTTAAAGAGTACAAAGGCATGAGATGTGATTCAATGGAAAAAAGCCTTAAATTAGTTGGGTACATCAGGAAATTTTTAAATAAGATATATATCGATTACTAGCTGCAGGGTTAATTGCAATTGATTTATATCAATTATAATCAATTATAATCGATTGCAATCATTTAAATTTAAATAATTGCAATTGATTTATATTGATATAAATCGATTGCAATCATTTAAATTTAAATGATTGTAATCGATTATAATTGATTATAATTGATATAAATTGATTGCAATTAACCCTGCAGCTAGTAATCGATATACATCTTATTTAAAAATTTCCTGATGTATGTTAAAAATTTGTCACAAGCGCTGCCAATAAAAAGTGTCCTATACAAGAGAAGTTCTGCTGTGTATTTAGATCCTATTTGTGTCCTGTGTAAAGATAATAAGGAAGAAAATGCAGATCACCTTATGCAGTACTAGGCACTAAATGAAATATAAATAGAAATCGAGAAGTTTAGCATTAGTCTAGCTTGGACATCGATAGATGAAGTCTATAAAGTAGCTTTAACAGTACAAGACTTGTAGAGAGCAGTTCTCGGTTCAATATTAGTCGAGAGAGTCAAGGCACGTAGCCTTCTTTCAAAGGGTCTTTTTAAATGCAATACACTTTCATGATTAAGTAACATTTTAGAAAGTGAAGCTATAGCACTTGAAACTCTAAAAGTAGCTAGCTTTGGTATGCAAGAATGTTTTTATAGATTGGTATAGAGTGATAGATGCAGAAAATTTGTTGTATGAGAAAAAGAAAATAATATCGGTATCGAAAAAAAACGACCAAAGAAGAGCAATGAAAAGAAAAGGTCTTGTGGAAAGGAGAATATCGCACCCGGTCAAAGAAGCGACATGAACCAACCTAGGACAAAAAAGCGAATAAAGGTGGTAGGGGTAGATCAAATAGTAGAGTCAAAAGTAAAATATTTATTAGAGGTTGTGGTAAGACAGAGAATTTTGAGTTCTAACCCACCGAGTTGGTGGACTAAAAGATTGTAAATATTTAATAGGAGCTGAGCCCAGGCTAGATCATATCTTTAAATGTGTTGCAATATATGTGGGATATGGTGGCCAACATCAGTGCGGTAGCCAAACTTGGGCATCTTGAGGAGATAGCTAGGTTTTAGTCTAATTAGATTATTAAATAGCTTAGTCTTGTATTAAGTAGTAAATATTTAATAAAATTTTAATATGCGGTTATCAAAGAAAAAAAAAAAAAAAATATTGTAACGATTTTTTTTATAATGTATATTTTCTACAATTTAAATCTTAATATATATGTTGTGCCCCAGATGCAAATCGGCCCAGTTGTTAATTGGGCTAGCCCAAATGACAATTTGATTTTGGGTTACCAATTTTGCCCTAAATGCAAATCAGTATTTAAAAAAAGTTTTAATAAGTTAACCTTTCTTCTAGTTCTAAATAAAGTTGTAGAGGAGACTTTTCTGGTTCTAATGGTGGTTAGATCATCAAAATCGGCCTGGTGGATCTCAAGATATTTGGGGTTAAAGGCATAAAAATAAAGATCTACAAATTCATTATTACACAAAGTATTATAGTCTATAATACTTATATTCATACCTTTACCCCCAAATATCTTGGAATCTACAAGGCCGATTTTAATGATCTAACCACCATTAGAACCAGAAAATTCTTCTTTGCAACTCTACTTAAAGCTAAAAGAAATGTTTATTTATCAAAACTTCTTTAATTTTTTAAAAAAAAAACAATTTTAACTTTAAAATTTAATTTTACCTAACTCTAACCCCAAATATAATAAGCAACTCTTTCTTTTAGCTTTAAATAAAGTTGTAGAGAAAATTTTTCTGGTTCTAACGGTGGTTAGATCATTAAAATCGGTCTGGTAGATTCCAAGATATTTGGGGTAAAGGCATAAATATAAGTATTATAAACTATAATACTTTGTGTAACAATGAATTTGTAGATCTTTATGTTCATGCCTTTAACCCCAAATATCTTGGGATCCACCAGGCCGATTTTGATGATCTAACCACCATTAGAACCAGAAAAGTCTCCTCTACAACTTTATTTAGAATTAGAAGAAAGGTTAACTTATTAAAAACTTTTTTTTAAATACTGATTTGCATTTGGGGCAAAATTGGTAGCCCAAAATCAAATTGTCATTTGGGCTAGCCCAATTAACAACTGGGCCGATTTGCATCTGGGGCACAACATATATATAAAGTGTGTTGCGATATAATGTTATCGTTAGAAGCAGATGATTTGCAAATTTGGTATAATCATTTGGTGAAAAAAGTAAAAAAAATATCAATAGAAAAAGATTTTTTATATCAATAAGCGCAAGAATTAGAAGATGAAAATTATAAATTGAGAAAAAGAATTAAATAAAACAATGCTTCACCAAATATTTTCATGTTAATAATTTCATATTTTTTTGTTCTTATCAGTTTTATTATTATTTTTATTAATTCAAATTCAATATATGTTAAATACATTATTATCTAATAAACTATAAATATCTCATCTTTTATTAAATAAAAAATAAAAATGAAAGTGTTAAAAAAATCAATCATCTTTTTCATTATTTTTCTTCTCTGTTTTACAAGTTTATATGTTAATTGTAAAACTATATAATCATGTAGTTGTCGTAAGAGAAAAAAAAAAATCTAAATCATTTGTTATTTTTTATTGAGTTGAATAAGCTTCTTCATAAATTTGAAAATTATTATTGATAATATAACAACTATTTATTATTATAATTAAAATGTCTTTAATTTTTTCAAATCTTAAATTTCTATTAATTTTTCTAGCTTATCTTATTGCTCTGGTACACAATCAATCAAAGTGGGTATTATATCAGAACAAATAAAACATAATTTTCAAAATTTTATTGTATAGTCTCCTAAAGGTAGTCTTGAAACATCAGATTTTTTTTTTTTTTTATGTGAATTAAATAATTTTTTCGGATTTGTAAAAGATTTTAGTAGAAATAATCAATAAGTGTTTCCAAATCTTAAAATTATCATTTTTCCTGTAAGAACAATACCTACAATAACAAATATACTTTGGGAGTTAGTAATAATATTAATCCAATTTGGATAATTACAAATAATTTAGAATCAAAAATTAGTAATTTAGAATAGTGCTTTTTTAAGAGTTTTAAATAATAATATAAAAAACGATCCAGAAACTAGAGTGGATAGTATTGGACAAAATGATTGGAATCAATTAGTGCAAACAATTACTAAAATGCTAAATCAGTTATAGATAGATCAACTTTTATCATAGAAATTCAACGATTATTATCATTATCATCAAATCAACAATTGGTAGAAGAAAATGAAAAATTAAAACAACAACTTAATAAAATTAAAAAAATAACTGAAACAATATTTAATGATATTGCTCAAAATAACATTTTACCAATTCAAGATAATGTTTTAACTAATTTAATAGTTCTTTCTCAACATATATTTGGAGAGATTATCCCTGAAATTTTTAAAATTATAAAAAATATTATACTTGAAAAAGAAATAATTTTTCCAAGTATTATTTCACAACTACAATGTATTACTTGATTTACTATTGATATTAATAATACCAAATAATAGAGGTGTGGCAACTTAGTGTAGTGGTCTAGTCGTCATTCTCTCCAAGTGGCAGGTCTAGAGTTTGAATTCCACAGACAACGATATTTGAAAAATAGGCTTGTGTTCGGTTGATGGCTATGTATATTGGTTGGATCTAATCTGTAACTTTGGTCACACCATCTAGTAATAGGAGCAATGGCGAAATAAATCTGAGGAACCAACATAACTGAAAACCCATTTGGAAAGTCCTGAGTTAGGAGTAACAATGATCTTTAATGGTATTATAAGAGGGCTGAATTCGAACCGGGGCCCGAAATCGGAGAACCGAACAACCAGATCCTAATAGTGGAGGACACACCAGCTGAACTACCGGGTTCTGTTACACCAGAGGAAAAGGACATACGCTCTGAAAATATGTACCAAGAGAAGGGCATCCTTCAGGTACCTAAAGCCTGGGCAAACCGACCCTTCCGGGTTGCCGGCTAGAAGTAAGG